TATTAACAAATAGTGTCAATTACAGAAACTGATGAAAAATAACAGTAGCTTTGCTCAAGGTTTTCTTAATCTCATTGAAAAGCATAAGTGCTCTCTAAAATAAGATTATGTTGGCAGTAACATGGCATTTTCTTTTTTAACTACAGTTAGAACTAACTTTCAGCTACTTGGAAATCCAAGGAGTTACTTCCAGTAGACCGGGTCAGGTGAGTGTATTCTAGATAAAAGATACTTGTTTACTCATTGCTAAATCTGTTCCAGTCAAGGAGATAATGCTCTAACATGCAGGTGTCCCCATCCAGTGAGCACACTGTATGTTTGCATTCTTATATTCATGATGTTTTAAAGTCTTAACAATAATGATAAGAATTTAAAGAGTTAATTTTAGGAATGTGTTGTGCAGGTGGGGTGATGATAAGAAAAAACTTGCTTTTTCTGGCTCAATATGTTACAAGTTTTCATTTGTCTTGCAAGTGAATATTTTTCTCGGAGATGATAAAACAATGGCAGCTTGAATGACTTCTGTGGTGTATACTTTTATCGTGAAGCCGAAAGCTACTGCTTACATTACAGGCAGAAATGGTTTACTTCCAACTATTCTTGGTGCCATTACTGTATACAACACAAAATAGATTTGACAGCAAGTTATGTGCCAAAAAAGTGAATGTCAAAGAGAAAGTGCTGAAAAGAAGAATGCTTTTAACACGTTTTTCATTCATAAGATAAATCTGTTGACAAGATTTGACAGTTACAATTGTATCAAAGTCTTCATGTGTTTCATGTATGTTTGGCTTTTAAAGAGCTTTTTAAAAATGTGAGCGTCTGACGCTTCATTTGAGCTCCGAAAAGCTCTCATTGTGTTTAACGTCATTTTTTTTTAACCTGGCTTTTGAAGCTTTCCTTAAAGGAGGAAAAAAAAAAAAAGGTCCAGATGTTTACTATTTTAATGGGGAGACATTTAGTAAATTCTCTGTATGTTTTTTGTGGCTTTATTTATTTAAGGTACTAAAATGCCATGGTAGCTAATGCTAGCTATTCGTGGAGGCATTGAAATTCACTGTTGTAGCAGAGTTTACAAGGGATTTGCAGCAGCCTCATTTAGCATACCATTTTCCTAAAATATTTTATAAGGTTTTGCATGTTCATTTGTGTTTTAAATGTGTAAGGCTTGTAGCTGAAGGCTAGATTGTTGCTCATGGGGCAAATGGAATTGTTGCAGTTTTCCTGCAAACAGCATGTTGTATCCATGATACCTGAAGGATGTAGTCTCATGCCAGGCATCTCGCAGAAAGCTATGAAGAGCTTCCTACTGTTGAGATAAGTGAGCAGCTGGACAGAGTAATATAGGGAAACGTTGCGTTAATATTGGTGATGATGGAAAACAGTAGTAACTTGCCCACTGATTGATCTTCAGGGAGTGACAGCAACAGGTTCAGAAAGGAGTTGAATTTATGGGAAAAGGTATGAAGATTCTCAGTGTACTTTTGGGATAATACAGCCTCTTTGAGGGTTTATCTGGTGATGACCCTAGACATGAACTGGGAACCAGTTTCAATAAAAAAACAAGCTTCTGGAGCATACTACGCTGTGTTCTCTTTTGTACTGTCTATCTACAGTTCTTATTTATTCTTATTTATTCTATGTTAGCTTCTTACTGTGCATGCACAGCTCCTCATCTAAAAGAGTTTATGACTTGGGCTGTGCTAAATATTAACATTGGAGAAGATGGAAACATTACCTTGCTTCCTGGGATGCAGCTGAAAGCCTCAGCAGACCTGATGTGTCTGTCATACAGTAATCTAATTTGATTCTGAACAGGCAATATATAACAGAGATGGGTTGCAAAAGGGTTTATTTTTCCCCCTCGCTGAAGCACATGTCCCCAGACAGCGGGACAGTTGTATTAGCTGAGTTACTGCTTCATCTGAACTTAGACAATATATTACTGTAATGTTTTCTTAAACGGCATAGATCAAAGCATTAGAGCTTTTCCAGAGGATCACAGCCGTTGAAGACTTTTACTTTTTGCTGGAGGAAGCAGACCCTGATCGTTCAATAGTTTCCTGTCAGGCTGAGCTTGCTTCTCCTGGTGTTCTGGGATATGTTTCAAAAGAGGACAATACTGTGAAAAGTTCTTGGTTTTCAGAGCGTCAGCTGAGGTCAAGATCCTTTGAAACTTTTATTCCCGTGGGAAGCGGGGCACTGTTAGGGAAAGCAAAGTCTGAGTACGGAGGTCTTGTACATTCAAGCACAACTTTCAGAAACTTTACCTGGAGCACTGTCGTGTCATGTCTTAAAGAATAACAAATTCCTACCAGCTTGCAGAGCATTCAGCTGACATTCAAAATGCTCTCCTTTTTAAATGGACATGAATTGTATGATACCCAGTTCCTGCTCTCTTGCCCTTGTATGTACAGTTGATTATGGAAACTGAGAAATGCAGCATCTCCATGAAGATGTCATCCTCGGAGGATGTGAACGAGGTGCTGGCACACATTGGGACCTGCCTCAGGAAGATATTCCCTGGACTTTCGCCAGTGTAAGTATCTGTGGAAAGGGTGATAAGCCACCACTTTTTGTCTGCAGGTCTCCCCACATTGACCCTAGAAATACACTGAGAAACGCCTCGAGGCAAGCACTAAGCTTTTTTGCAGGTCTATGTGACAGAACCAGGAGGCAGTGCAGAGCATAGGTAGGCTATGCATACTCTGTAGGGTCAAAAGAGCCTTTGTTTTGAAGAGGCAGTGCAGGTGTTTGGAGTCTTAAGTTTTCATTTTACCTTATTGCCTCTCCAGCCTCAGGTATAGCTCAGATTCTGGCTTTTTGTTGTAATTTACTCCTTTCCCCAGAAACAGCTGTGATATTTGATGTTTTTTTTTGTTTGTTTTGTTTTGGTTTATTTTTTTCCCTAGAAGTAAAACTTCAGTTAAGAAAGGATGGAAAACTTCTGTTTACTTCCAGAGAAATGATGCACATGATTGGGAGCCTTGTTCTTCAAAATGGAGCCCTGGGCAGTCTTGTCATATACTTTCCATGGTGTAACTGGCTCCTTTAATCATACATCTCCCTCTCTAGCTTTTTTGCTCTGCTTCTTTATGTGTTGTTCTTGCCTTTGTTTTTGTTTGTTTGTTTTTCCTGATATCTGTGCCTCTAAATTTTATCATCTCACAGCAATTCTCAGAAGTTTTTCTTTGTTTTATTTTATTTCTCTTCTCTGTCCTTGTCTTCATCTTCATCACTCTCTACCAGATCACGCAGCTTTACTATTACTCTCTTCAGCTCCTGGTTTTCAGCAATATTAGAAGAAACAAACTGTGCAGAAGAATTTTCCAGGACACGTTTATCTTTCTAAGTGAGCTTTTTTGACAGACATTAAATGTGAATGGTCAGGCTAAATTTACATGGCTTATTTTGGATGCATGTCTTTATTATTCGCCTTTCCTGTAGGTGGAGTAGGAAATCAACTTCATAAACTGGCTGACGGTTTCTTTTTTTACTTCTAGTTTATCTCTGTGGCAGTATTATTAACTGCCTTAATGGAGATCAAACTCTTCCTTCAAAAAGCACACACAGAAGTGAATATTTATGAACAGGTTTGACATAAAACCTCTGTAATGATGTGAGAAATGTAGGCAAAAAGAAGAGTGAAGAAGAAAGTGTGCATGTTTGTCTGGGCATCTGCGAAGACCTTGAGACCTATGCATGTTTTCCCTGGACTTTATTGAGAATGTTACTGGAGCATTTGGTGTAGCTGTGTGGAGAGCTTGGTTCCTGGAAAAGAAATCAAGTTTCTTGCTCTTCTCTCAAATGACATTACTTTCCAAAATGAAGACATTGGAATTATGCATATCATATAAGACTAGAAGGAGCAAAAAGGAGGAAAGAGGTTTCTCCCATTAATATATTTCATTAATTCTTTACCTCTTTTTTATGGCATTCTGAAGTTTATGAGGCAGTCTTGTCATTCAGAAAAACAGACAGTTTCATTTCTTAAAAGGTAGGAAGGGATTGTGTTTTTTATTTAGGGGAGGAAGAACACTACCAAATTACAAGGATTGGAGTTGGGTATCTAGAGTGCAGCCTAGAGACCACATGTGGCTACTCATCATGCTCTGTAGCTCTTTGTACCATGGTGCTTTTACTGCATAAAAGCACTGTATATACAGCAGTGATTTCAGGGTGCCCAGTAATACCATGTCTCTCCCCTGTTTTGGGCATCCTTGTGTTAGTTGAGGGCCACAAGTCTCCTTAGCTTGAGTGATCCTGTCATAGAAAAGGGCTTAGTTGTTCCAGTAGTCACAGGGTTAACCATAAAAAAGAAAGAAGAGACAAATAAATGTTACTCCTGTTGGGCTGCATCATGATTTGTGTGACTTTTGTCACACAAGTAAAGTTGTATTAAAGATAGTAATCTTCCTGTACACTTATTTAGAATCATGCTTGAAATAACGAAGATTTATGAGTTTAAAAATACTTTTCAAGTCATGGATGTTTTGTTGATTTTTTTTTTTTTCCCCCTTCTTTACATCTAGGAGGATTCTGAAAAAAGTAACTATGGAGCCTTCAGAAAGACTGGCAAATCTCCAGGCCCTGTGGGACAGTCAGACAGTGGCAGAACTTGGACCTTGTGGTGAGAATGAATTTAAAAGCTCAAATGTAAAAAGACTGGAATTGCAGTGTCAGGAAGTTTAATTCTATTTCTGGCAGAAGCTTGTAAAGGTGTAATTAGTTTTAAGGTGTAATTAGCGTAGAGTAGACTTCTGATTGGTAGGTGAAGGCACTATATTAAGCTTTCTTGCAACCTACTGGGCAAAGATAGGATAGTCTCAGTTTCTTTCAGTCGCACAATGGACACAATTTTGAGAGAAAAAGAGAGTGAGTTTTGAAAGACTGGATCTTTAAGTATAAGTAGTAAAGTATCCTTTTAGATGTTTCTGTTTGTTTGCTTGTTTTGCTATTATGTTAAATACTCTCTTGGGTTGTTTCTAGGAGGCTTTTCGCAGATGTATGCCTGTGTTTGTGACTGGCTTGGATTTCCCTATAGAGAAGAAGTACAGTGGGTAAGTACATGTGCTGTTCTGGAGCTCTTTTCAGCTAACTGTGCAAATGATGAAAGAACAGGTAAATCATAGTACTTGAAAAAAACAACAATTCTGTAAAGATGTATTTGGTTATGTGTTTTTAACAGGATGTCGATACTATTTATCTGACACAAGATACCAGAGAGTTGAATTTGCAAGACTTCAGCCACCTTGACCACAGGTAAACGATACGCAGTAATCATACTTATATTTTGCAAACTTTTGTTGTTCCCCCTTGCAGTAGGGTCCACCTGCCCTTGCTAAAGTGGAATGGTCTCGTAGCTGTTACTTGAATGCATAGACCTCTGAAATGACCATCTGTAGTGTTTTTAGTTTTCAGCACAAAACTGCTTTTTTTTTCATAAAAGCCCCATGGAGAGCACATTTCCTGGAGGAATCTGAGAAGATAAATATATTTTGTTATTGGAAGCACTCCAAAAAGTTAGCAGATAGATACTTTTCTTGTGATAGCGCATATAAGAGCTCAGCAGAGAAAACATGCAACTACATCTGGTGGGCAAAGCAAAAAAGGAAATTATGCAGTCTTTACTTATGCAGAACCTTTTTCTCATGGTGTATGCAGTGAAGGAAATTATTTTTGTCGGCAAGTCAGTAGAAGGTTTAAGTTGTTCAACTAAAACCCAGCCAGTAGTTTCTCCACTTACAATAGATGCTATGAAAAATGTGTACTTCCAGAAAGGAACTAATTGTGAATAATTTTACTATGATATGCTGAAACTTAGCTAAGGTTTGCATTTGGTTTACTGAATTTAGCTGGCTGGGAAAATTGGATTCTAAGAAAGTTGAATCTGAACATACTTAAGTAGGAGGAGATGGGAGGGAATCTTAACTAAAATCCTTCATTATACTAGGAAAATGACAAATTTAAGAAACTGTAAATAAGATAGAGAAAACATTTGTTTCCCTGGGAAAGCCCAGTGGAAGAATTAAGAATCTATCAGAGGTAAAATGTTAAAATAAAACAGGAAGGCTGAACTTGGAGGTAGGTAAATGAGGGTATTTTGCCACAGCATTCGTTGCAGCTTTAAGCTATCTGTAGGTAAACTTGCAAAAAACCCCACTCAAATACTTACTCAGCTTCTGTGATGGGTTTTCACAGCCTGCGCTGAATCCCATGGCAAATTTGCCGATATGTGCCTGTGTTGGCTAATGCAGAGGTGACTCCAACAAGACTACAGGGCTGCAACTAGTGCATGATGGATGTAGCAAAAACTGTTTGGTTTGCTAAGCCTTGCTGAGAGAAGATAAGGAAAGGAATATTATTCAGCCCCAAGTGAATGTGTGACAAGAACACAAGAATGCTTTAAACATATTGCAAGGAGGAAGTGACTTCCAGGTACCCTACTTCAGTAGAAATTAAATGTTGGAACAATTTATTGGGAGTGAAATATTACTTATTAGGAAAGAGCAGATAGAAGAAGTGGTTTAACTATTTTGAATATCTCAGCTGCTTCAAATGAGTTGGCTTTTGGAAAATGAAATAATGAGTTTGCTGCTTCACAGAAGCTTTTCATTGAAGTATACCTTACAAAATTGACATCACTGAGGAAATATATTTGTGTTATTAATAAAAGTCATTATTAAATGTCTCACGATTGTGTAAGTCCAAAGATTGAAAACTTTTGGAGCTGTTTGCATGCCGGCGTCCAGCTTGTGATGAGACTCTCTGTGTTGAGGACTGAACTGAGAAAAAGGTTTTGGATGGAAATTTCAAGAAAACTAGATTTTTTTAGGAAGCCAAAATCTTATGTTATTCATTAAAAACACAAATTAGGATCTGAGATCCCAATCAGTTCAAGAATGTATGTGAGTGTTTTGTGATAGATTTAGCACAGTGAGAATGCTATAAATTAACAGTGTGCCATCATGCTTTGGATTTTGAGAGACTGTTGTATGTCTTGTCTGCCTAATTTTTGGGATTGCTGAAACTATATACTTCATGTTGCGAAGTAGCTCTGAAGTGAGGTAGGATGGGTACACCAGTTCTCTAGATACAGGGGCTATGCATTGCAAAACTAAACAATTTGTGTTTTTCCTAGTAAAGCACTTTTGTTAGAGGTCAACACAAGATGACATGAATTGTAGATGAATTTAAGTTCCCAGAGCGTCTGACACTTAGAGTGCATAGCATGGCTTGCCACATGGGAACATGGCTTCTGAGGTTTTATCTGAAGTTACGTTGTGCTGCGAACCATGTAATTGTTTAACAACAACAACAAAAAAGACTCAAAGTGAACAGGGCTTATTTAACTCAGTAGCATAATTTTCATCTTTGTAGTGTATGTTTTAGCATATTTGGACATTCAAAAAATTGTCAGAAAAGCGTGATTAGTTAGATTTCTTTTTGGTGCTGTTCAGATTTCTTGCCATCTTAAATACACTGCAGGACAGAAACCTTGAAAAAATGCGAAGACATTAGATAAGCTTGAATGTTGTTGAAGCTTGGAGAGATTTTCTGCATTCCAGAAGAACAGAATCTGTTTTCGTTTTAATATGCCACAGATTTACATTTTGTAAATCTTACTTTATTCTGGATGGTAATTTAGTAAACAAACTAATGAATATAAGCAACTCAATATGGGAATGTTACGAGAAGGCCCTGCTTTTGGAAATGGTCATTAGTCTTCTTTCATACCACATTGCAAAAGAATTCAGATCATTGTTAGTACCACATCTAGAATTTAATAGAATAAATGGAATAAAACAGTATATAATTTTGAAAAGGAAAACTCAGTAACAAGTGCATTGAGGTTAGGCAAGCTCAAAGCAAGAGGAGGAGTAGAGGTAAATTCATAAAGGACCCTCATTAGTCAGAAGCACCTTCAAAAATTTGAACAAAATGAAAAGAATGACTAAACTATGTAGTTTCTCCTTAAAATCTGATGGTAGAATATGATGAAGTTTCTAGGCAGTAAGGCTACTCTGCAATGGGCAGGAGTTCCACTGTCTTCAGGCATTTAGGGAGGGAGGAAGAGGAGGAGTTGTGTGTGGGTTGGCAGTTGGTGTTACTGAAGGGTGCCAGTATCTGTGCTTGGCTTGGGTTCCAACAAACAGGCCTTGAATACTGCGGAAGACTAAACTATTTAAAGGTGAGAATTTGCAAATCAACTGAGTTGATTTGTTTTAAAATATTCCTGTCCTGCTGCAGCAATGCTTCTTTAACTTCTTGAAAGTGTGACAGTTTTCCCACTAACTCTGAGCACACCCTGCCCTCCAGCAATTTCCCTCCCAGGCCTGGAGAGGAGAGAGGAGAAGAGGATGGTGTCAGGCAAGTTTTATCTGGAGCCGCTCTCCTGTATAGAAGATATTGAGCTCTTCTTGCCAGCCCTCCAAAGCCAGCTTACCAGCTCCCTTGTAGTGTAAATGCTTGTAGCCAATGATCCCCCATTGTTGTCCCTTTGTTCCTTTGAAGGAACTGGTGCTGCTGCTGATGGCTGAAACAGGTCTGCCGGTGATGCCTTCTGCCTCTTTTAGGGATGGTGGTCCACAGCGTGAACAGCTTTGTTCCACCAGTGTGATGGTGCTACTGTCAGCCTGTCCAGCAACCACCAGCTGTGGCTGACTGGTTACCACTGGGTGGATAAACCAAAATTACACCTGGAAAACAAGTCCTGTGTTCATTCCACTTCAAAGGCAAAGGCACTGGCAAAAAGGGACATCAAAGCTGCTAATTCATTACCTTCTTACTGATTGCTCCAGGGGAAAGCAAAAGGGGAACAAATCTCTACATTTGCTGTAGAGTAAGGAATGTTACTTACTCCATAGCAAGGTTCCTGCCTGCCCAGCCTAAGAGGAAAATACCTCAGGATTGGTTTTTTCTCTCCCTTAACATTTCACTAGTCAGTTACTGCTTTACATGGAGATAAAGTGTGTGTGTAGGAACAAAAACAACATGATGGACAGAAATAGATCTATACACTTCATGAGTGCCAGTGGAAATGAATTCACCGTGAGACTTGATGTGTGCTGTGAACAAGATGGCAAACAGACTTGATGCTTGAAGGGCACCACGCACTAGTTCCTCTGCAGGAGTGTGAAAATGGTCTATTTGCATGAGCTTTGCAGTTGGTGGGCTGCAGTCTCTTGCTGCAAAATGCTGCACCTTCTTACAGTTACCTTAGTGATGGGCTTGTACTTCCAAATCTAGCATCTGCAGTTCCCAATATAGCCCACTTGTCCATATGATGTTGCCTTGTCTCCTGGATTTCCTACATGCTTAACAACCACTCTGAAGTGTCTGAATGTTCGTGGAGGAAAAGTGAAGAAGAGGAAGAGGAAAAAGAAGATGTGAGAAGGATGCTGCTTGTTTATTGCAGATCTGTGCCTATCTGCATGTGCCTTGAATGAAAAACTGGGAAGAGTGGGACTAGCTTATAAAAAACAATACTTTTAAATTTCTCCCTGCAAAAACTGGTGCTCAGATGGCACTATTTTACTGGTTGGAAAAGTTCATGTATGTTACAGGTCTTCTATAAAGACACAGGGGGTTTCTAAGTGAAGTCCAAGTGTAGGTGTATATATGTATTTAATATGTTGTGTCGAAATGATCCAAGTGCTGCGCTGCTAAGTAGTATGCTTGTGCTTGTTGGATGATTCTGCTGGGGGGTAGCATACAGACATGACATTTATCAACGCCTGTTACTGGAGAAACTTAACAGAGGGAGAGCAGATCACATTAAGAGGCTTGGAATGAAGAATTGGGAATAATTTAGAATTTCATTTGTGAAATCCCTTTTACAATTAAGGAGAGTTCGTGTTGAAAGTCTCATTATCCTTTTTGCAGGTCTCCTGCTTCCTGAGGGAATTTAACTATAGAGATGAGACAAGGAGGTGTTCTCTAGAAGCATTCAGTCATGGAATTATATTAAATCATCAGGCTGCCAAAAAGCTTTTTAGCGTCATGCTCAATTATAATTAGAGGTGATTAAGAAGCTTAAATATGTCACAGGCTGAAGAAAAAGTAATGCTAAAAGTAGGAATGGCAGCCCAGACAAATTCCTGGTTTAAAAATTCATGCTAGAATGGATGTCAGCTGGCCAGTCAAAAATGTGTATTAAAATACTAGAAAGACACACAGCTGCTGGTGATGTCATTTTTTAGAATGCAGAGCTTTTCTGTAATGGTGACAGTAGGAAATTAGCATTGCAAAAGAATGGGAAATTGGATGTAGAAGAACACTTAAGAGATTTTTTTCAAATGACCAAAGCCAGCAGTTATATGAAATGTGTGTAAAAGTGTTTTTCTTTTTCTAGAGACTTAATACCTATAGTTGCTGCTCTGGAGTATAATCAGTGGTTTACGAAGCTGTCCTCCAAGGATCTGAAATTAGTAAGTAATAAATTGAAACAGTATACTCTCTCCTACCAGACTGTGCTGTGTTTTAGAGAATGTTGTTACGTTTTTCAAGGTGAACTTCTTTAGGCAAGTACAACTGGCCAATCTATAGATTTATGTTTTTTTGCCCTTAATCACGTCAGGAAGACATAAACTGTTAACTCATGCCATAGGAACACTGCCTTGAGTCAGGTCTTGTCAAAATTTCAAGTAAATAAAGTTTGAAAACTTTGTTGAACAACAACAGTAGCCCATAAAACTACTTTGTTAGGCATTGCTAGCTCCCTCAAACAATATTGGGTGACTAAATAGGAAACTAACTTTAAAGGAGCCAGAAATCTCACTTGCTTTTTGGAGATGGAAAGAAAATATCAGGATTCCGTTGTCATCTTGCATATAAAGCAGGTTTTTCCGTGTAATTTTCATTGCAACTTGATGATTTTTTTTTTCTCCTAGTTGTCTGAAGCTAACTCTGTGTTGTAATAAGTATGTAGTGATGTGTGACGTTGATATTCTTCCGTATCAGTTTTCTTTCTGAAAAAGCAAAAAGAGGGCAAATCTAAACAAGTTGGACTACTGAAGAAAGGGCCAAGAAAATCAGGAATTAGGTGACATTTTAAATAAAATATACTATTTCTTCTAAACTTGGAAGTTTATAGTCACAGATAGTAGAATTAGTGGTTTGAGAAATTGCTTTCACATTTGTATCCAGAAGCTTTTGTCCTTAAAAATGAAAGTTGAGTCTCATCTTGTTTAAATTGATGCAGTTTTATTGATCTGAAAATGCTCTCATTGCATGCCTAAGCTATCATTTTCCATGACAATTGAGTAGAAACTAGCTTATGTGATTCTTGGCAGAAGAGTAAGCAAAAAACTTTTCTTTCATGCTGGGACATCTTACTCAAAATTATGCATGGAATGAAACTAGGAGTGTTTTTAATGCTGTTGAAGTTTGCTGTTAAAGTCAGCATTGTTGAAAGGTACAATGCAATTAATCAGTTTCTGCTTCAATGAAATGAGATAGTTTGCTTAGTTAGAAGACTGGCCAGTGTAGTTTGCTTAGAACAAGAACTGGCTGTATTATCTGAGATACTTTTATGTGAAAGTTTTTTTTGCGTTCTTAGCAACTTTTCTGTGGAAAACAAAAACTTTATCAATCTTGAAAGTGCATCAATTCCTTAAAAAAAGGAAAAAAAAACCACTTTATCTTCCACACATTCCGTTTTCAGTCAAAACCACCAGGAAAATGTAAATTGTTGGACAGTAAATCCGTGCCACAGCCAAACTGCTGCGGGTCAGTATGAGGTCAGACATATCCGGAGGCCATTGGATGCATTGTACTTCATGAGTCCTGCTCTGGCATTGTGTTTGATGGACAGTATCCATAGGTGGTATTTTTTTTATAGTACATGGATGAAACTTTCCACTTGCAATCACACTGCTGTAGAAGCATTGTGATAATATCCTGATTTATTAAAATATGGAAGACAAAGATAGAATTGGGAAGATGGCTGAGTTTACAGTCTTCAGAAAAAAATGGTCACCTTTACTGTGTAAAGGATTAATAAGATTTTATGTGTGTGGTAGAGCAGGTTGTTTTTTTCTTTTTAGGGCACTCAATTACTTTAAAATTTGGAAAAAACCCCCAAACAACAAACAATCTAGAAAATGTCAGATTGTCATTAGAGACACAGATATCCCGGGTATGAATGTCACATTGTTGTTTTTAAAGGCAGATAACAGAATAGTTTCAGTACTTCATGATCATGACTGAAATTCAGCTTCACATGAATATTGATTAGTGTGTGCTGTGGAAAAAAAAGGCAAATCCAGAAGCGAAATAAAAGATTGTAATAAAAGGTGGTGAGGTACAGAGTTCATTATATGGTTTTTGAATCATTAAAGTTTTATCTCCATTTGAACGAGCACAGAAAACAAACTTTTATTAGTCATGCTTTGTTCATAATACTTGCAAACCTCCATACAAATTTTAGAATCCAACAACAGTAAGATCATGAGGTGAGGTTTATTCTGTGTATGTTATGAGAATTCATACTGAAATACAGTGGCCCTATAGCAGTAGTCCTTAGCAGTTTTTGGAGGACCTGTAGCTAGAGTGCTTTTGCTCTTGAGTATTTTGGGCAATTTTGTTTGCCTTATAACATCTTTCTTCTAATTTAGTTGTCATTCCTGGTAAGGCTTTATTCTCCTTTGCGCTAGTTGCTGCTTTCTTCTGAAGGATGAACAAGATTTCTTTAAAAATTAAGTGGGTATTATTTTCTGAATCACAGAGTTTGGGTTTTTTACTATGATTATAAAAATTTTGCCCCCTATGATTAGGTGGCCTGATTCATATACGACTTGCTTTTAGTCTGCCTCTTGCTTCTCTGAGTCTTTTCCAGAAGTCCTCTGTTGCCACTTGACTCTCTCCTGGATGTTTCTGGTATTTTTACTTGCTATTTATGTATGACAAGATGATGGTTGTGGCAATGTACAGCTTATGACTCAATAACCATCTGTTCCATGTTTGTGTTCTTTAATGCTGTTCTGTCTTTTCTGTGGCAGTCCACTGATGTCTGTGAGCAGATACTGCGAGTGGTGAGTAGGTCCAATCGATTGGAAGAACTGGTATTAGAGAATGCCGGGCTTAGAACGTAAGTAATTCCTTTGAAACGTTGCATTAGTTACTGCTTATTCCCAGTAGAAGGGGTGCATAATGTGCGTTAGCCAGAATAAGCACTAAAAAAGCCTTGTGCTTGATTGTTCTGGGGAGTCTGTAGTCACAAGCTTTTTATCAGATTTTCTAGAGGTTCCTTATGTCCCAGAAATCCCTTCAAACTCATGTTTTTTAAGATTCTGCCTGGAGAGTTGGGTTAAGTGGAGCAAAATGGATTGGATAAGAACATAAACCCTAAGTCAGCTCACACTGTTCCTCTCCAAATATGGTTGCCAATAGAAGCATGGACACCTTTTTATCATTTAAAAACCGGTGCTTGAGGTTTTGTTAAAAAAGCATATTATTCCGTCTTGCATAACAGATCATTATTTCATTCCCAAGAGAGCTGTTTTTTACCTTACTGTGGGTTACAGTCTGCCCAAATACAACAGGACTTCTACCTTAGCAACTTTTTTAAAGAAGCAAGAAGTAGATAATTAAGTTTAATGCCTTGCCATAGCCTTAAAAGAAAAGTACACAGAGGTAAGCCATAGAATTTAATCCTGTACACAGAAAGTACATAAGGTAAGCCATAGAATAGTACACAGAGGTAAGCCATAGAATTTAATCCTTCCATTTGTTTTCAATACAGTAAATTGTAGTTACCAGGTATTTGCTTTTTTTTTTCCCCTTTCACAGGAAATAGAAGCAAAGTTCAAGGTACATACTAGCCCAGTTGGAAGTATTTGTAGCTTTTTTTAGTGTTAGAGTAGTGTCCAAGACCATGTAGACAAGATAATCTCTAGCACTAATGATTTTTTTTTTAAATAAAAAAAAAGCAATGGAAAGGTGGGAGAAACAGAACAATATACTGAATTACAAATAGAGCAGAGAAATAAGCACAGGGAGAATATTTGATGTGCTTTACATTGTCTCCTCTTCCATCATTTGTGTCTTTTTCCGCTTCTGAAAATGGATTTTGCGTTGAAATACCTTTAAAAGAAAAGTGCCTAAATGACACAGGAAACTCGAGGTGGAGTTTGGAATTGCACCCAAACTTTGTGATCACTAGTGCACTCCCTTTAATAGCTGTCATTCAAACATAAGCGCCTGATTTTAATCTTGTTTTTCTTGCAGTATGTTCCATGAAATCCAGTGATGATTATTAATATAAAAGATGCATTAACTACCTTTGCATGTTGCCTACCTTAACTTACCACAGTTGGATTAACTGATTTCAGTTTTAACAGGACTTAAATCGACCTGTGACTTTGGTTTTCATGTCTCCATCTACATGCACAGTGTTTGGCATTTTGCCTTGGTGTGTATCTGCTCTGATCAGCATTGTCTGCCTGTTTTTGTCAAGGACACATTTGTCAGTTTTGCCATGTGTCATATCTGCTTGCTGGGATGAAATCCTGTTGTGATTGGGCATCTTTGTTCACATAGCTTACAGACCAGTCATTTTTAATGAGCTCTGACAGAATGCTAAACCAGGGTTAAGAAAGAGCTACCAAGAGCAATGCTTTGAGAAATAACCTGAGCATCTGCAAGAGCATGTTTCTTCTTGCAGCAGAGTCACTTTAAGATGATTCCATTCTTTTCTACTTCTAGCCACTTGTTTCTGTGATTTGGTTTGGGCCATGGCCCCATAAACACTTGTCATCCTCCCAGCTGATGAGACAGCAAACTATTGTGCAGCAGCAGGACTGAGGACTAGGGAAGTGTGGACTTAGTGTTGGGGAAAACAGGGCGTCAAGTGAAACTCCATGTCTGATAAGATTTGTTTAGATGCCAGTTTAGATGCTCTTGGAAATTTTATCCCCATTGCTATTTCTTCAACAGACATAAAGGATACAGTCTAGATCACATTGGATGGCTTTAATGCATATAGCAAACAGTAATTTTTGGTAAGTGTGTTAACTGAGGTAGATGATACCCAGATTTGAGGGAAAGGAGAGTTGTTCAGGATGACCTGAACAACTGAGCTTGAAAAGAGAGTTACATCCCTGAGGTGTTTTAAAGGAATGGGACAATATGTGATAACCAGAATGTTCGTTTCCATGAAACTGGAAGACAGATTCTTCAGTCTGCAAAGGCCTGTTAGCAGGAGCTGGTGAAAATGATCTATTTGTTATGTGTACGTACTCTCTGAAAGCTGGCAGGCAGAATGTCTCTACCACCTTCTGCACCGTCCTCTGCCAACCCTGTTCCAAAGGGAATGGCCAGCTGTGGTGGGAGCAACAGAGATGCTTGCTGCTGCTGGTACCTGGAGGACTTTTGACAGTGACATTGTGTCTCATTCCCTGCTGGATGGGCTTTGAATGTCCTCAGACCTAACAGTGTTAGTTCCTCCCACACGTCCTCTTTTTTTTTTTTTTCCTGTTACAGGGATGTTGCCTAGACAGATCTTGAGGAATTGTTTTGTTTGTCTGAGATTTCCAGATCTGTGGTGTTCTTACTCTTGGTGAAATATCCTCACATACGTATCATACGTATAGATGCCTCATATCCTGGCATACGTATAGTTAAATTGACTCTTTTTTGGGCTTTACCTCCAAGGCTGAACATCCTCAATTCAGGCAAGCATGGCTGTGCAATGCATACAGAGCAAGTTTGATGCTTTATAGAAAGTGTCAGGCTTATACTGCATGCTCTATTCATGAAGCATGCAGCCAAAAAATTAATAAATTTTAGGACTTGGAACAAAGAGTGGACAATCATAGAATCATAGAATGGTTAGGGTTGGAAGGGACCTCAAAGATCATCTAGTTCCAACACCCCCTGCCATGGGCAGGGAAACCTTCCACGACACCAAGTTGCCCAAAGCCTCATCCAACCTGACCTTGAACACCTCCAGGGATGGGACATCTATGACTTCTCTGGGTAACATGTTCCAGTGCCTCA